GTAGTGAATTACTTAGTCAACCACTGGTCCACTGCGGGTTGATATTACACATATCTTTGAAAAGCTATAATTATTAAGTGTTTTGGAGTTCTTTAGCAAAACTTTATTAAATTTAAGCAAACAATTAATGAGAACAGATATGGAATTTTGTTTTCAAGTGTAAAACTCACCTGTTCATTTAGACTTTTCTCCATAGCGTTGAGTGGGTCTAATGAATTGACACTATCATTCAAATGTGACAGTGGCCCATTGCCAGCAAACTCATTACTGCCCGGGCCATTGTTCATGCCAAAGTCATAGTTCTGACTACTGCCACTGGAATTCCTGCTCTGTCCGCTTTGGTTGTATGAGGATATCATAGAGCCGCTCGCGATTGTGTTCATATCTGGTGGGAGGTACGGCGAGAGAGCGTTCATGTCCCAGTTATTCATGGTTGGCATGTTCATAGAGCCGGGTGACATGGCTTTGCCACGTTTTCCAACACTGTTGTCGTTACTGTCGTCTTCCTGCTATATGGTATAAAAAACATGGGTTAATGTGGAAATTAATGGTTGTTCTTTGCTAAAATCAATCGTGAACTCTAATATAAATGCTGTATAAAACAAAACAACTATGGGTTTGCATAAAAATCAATTTAGAGCCAATATTGAAGTCTGACATAGACAATTTGAATTTTATTTGTTAATCTGTGACTATGATATATACTGTATTTAATATAACAAGGTTGTTAGGAACTCTTCTTTAAAAATAGCAGTAGGTTTTTATTAAATACACTCTTACCTTAATGCCAGGGTTAGTGACACTTTTAGCTGCTTTCCAATTAGCTCCGTTGTCAATGGTCACTTCATCTACATCTGAGCCATTTAATGTGTTGAGAATACCCCACATGTATTGGTCCACTTCTAATCCTTCTAACTGCGCTGGTTTACTGCAAAGAAATCACAATTTTAATATGTGTTAAGGTAAGGTTAATTTAAATAAAATTGTACAAAGTTAAGTTTTTTATATTTTTAGGTTAGTTATTTATTGTATTACTAGCCACTATTTGGAGATTACAAAAAAAAGTGAGTGGACTAAGTGTTCTTCCAGGCTATGCTATATGTCTATACAAAATTTAATCAAATTCCATTAAACCATTTAAGCTACAAACTAACAAACATCCATGTACCAAAACTCTCGCATTTATAACATTAATATGAAGTATGATTTGTGGTAAATGGTATACAATTAGTATTTAAAATTATATTCTGATATATTCTCATTAACATTTTCATAATTAATAATCAGTATTCAACTCACTTGCACACCGGACACCTCCATGACCCTCGTTCACAATTGAGTTGTAAATATGACTCCAAATCGAAACATTGTATATGTTTGCATTCATGTCCACGTGCCGGTAGTGTGATTTTTTTGAAGGTTATTGGACATTTTAGTGACACTTTGAGTGCGGTTTGCTCCACTCCGTCCCTGTCATTTCCAGTGTTAGAGCCGTTGGTGTTCACAGATGTCTGGTTGAAATTCATCTTGATCTTAGCAATACAGTGATCAGCTGTTAGCAATCGCTTTCGTAGCAATCCTTGTAACACGCTACGTACACTCGGCCGATGGACTAATTGAAGTACGAATAGGTGGGACTGGAAATTAAAATGAAGTTAATTAGTATTTATAAATCAATCAGGATTTAAGTGTATGAAAAAGTTTAAATAAATGCAGCTAACAGACTGCTAGTACTATAGTGAAGTGTAAAGTTTAAGTGGTTTTAATTTAATAAAATGTTGTTATTTGTAATAGCTTATATGTTTAAAAAAGATACAAATACTTACGCAGCAACACGCCGAAACGGTGATTTGTATCGTGTTCCTGCCGGGCTGGCACACTTCTTTCAGGTACAAAGGTTTGTGCGAGGTTTTGTTCTCGCCGCGGTCAATGACGAGCGGCGTCGCGTTCACCGACACCTGCACGCTCGCCGGCCAGTTAGTGTTCATCTGCCGGTCCTCGTGATGGAAGCATTTCAGTTGTAACTCCAAGTCCGATCTGAGAATAAACAATACATTTGTTAATAAAGAGTTATAACATAGATTGTATTGTTTCAAGCATTCATATGTGTACAAAATTACCTCCAAATTAATGTTGAGTGGACAGTGGGTTTTAATTGGAATACATGGTTGCTAACTGCTAAATTATGCTCTAATCTAAATGGTGGTAGAATAATACCATCTCTTACAGGGAATGTTAATCGGAGCTCATCGTCTGAAACAAGAAAAAGCATTTATTTTATATGTTTCAACCAAAAGATATAGTTAAAATACTTCATATATTACAACATTATCTTACTTTGCATGCCCATCGATGGCTTGTGCTCGTTAAAGTGGGGTTTGACATCAGGATTGGGGCTGATGTAAGGCGGCATACTGCTCGCCGGCGTGAGCGGCGGCGTGGGATTGCCTGGCACTGGGCTGTGCTGGTAGGACATGCTCGTGCGCATTGCCACCTCCTGCGCGAATTGCCCCGTGTACTGCCCGCCGTACTGCGCATTGCTGCTTTGATGCTGCGGAAACTGGTTGGGCACGCCTCCGTTGAAGTACTGCCCTTGGTTGGA